TGATTTCTGCTCACTTTAAACATTTCTGCCTTTTTGGACAACTTTAATGATGAACTTTGGAATGATATGTTAAAGGTAAAAATTGAGTCGACGTCATCATGATATCGTGGTGTATCAAATTACAAGCAATTAAAGATTATTTAATCTTTGAAAATCAATATAAAATCAACCGTGACGGACCTGAACTTGACTTTTGTGGCAATTGATAGGATAATCCAGGATCTTTATATTGTCTCGTGTGTGCGGAAGTACAAGTAATTAGTACTCGTTCCTGGATGTACTCGTACTCGGAGATCTTTTCTTGTACCCGCAGGTACAAGTACTTGTACTCGTACTCTGCACCGAGGTACTCGGCACTCAGGTACTCCGCAGTACTCGGTACTCGGTAAAAAAAATATTCGACTACAACACTGATATCCTATCAGTCTTGCATGACATAAAAACACAATAAATTACCGAATCGACCACACAAACATAAGTAAGTCTATTTTCGTTTTTTTTTCGTTCAGGTGATGTAAATCAAAATCATTGAATTCTCTGTGAGTTACCTCCCGAGCGCCAACTTTCAATCTGGAGGTAACACACTGAGTATAAAGTGTTTATAGGTCAGTGAAGCGCAAAAGCTAATATTGATTTACATACTTTAATGTTGTATTACACATGGATTTTGAGGTTTCATAAAATAAGAGAGTCTAAGGGACCAGACTACTTGAGTCCAAATGTCATGTGTTTACAACTGGGTTGTTGTGTTATACAGTCGAACCTCGTTAATAAGAGCACTGTTAATACAAGGTTCCTGTTATAACAAGGAAAATTGTTGGTCCCAACTCTTATGTTTTCTTTGTTTTGACTCCTGATAATACAAGGTTCCTGTTATAACAGGGGAATTTGTAAAATCCCAAGGACCTCTTATTAACGAGAGTCGACTGTAATCCATTTAGAAAGATCACCCATGTGCATGATGTGACAAAGTCTCATCAAATAGGAATAACTAAACTTTCTAAAGTAAATTGCAGTCCATCATTTAATGCACTTTAATCACAATTGACACATTTTTACAAATATTACAAAGTACATACATCTAAGTTATGTGTATAGTAGTGATGATGGTCGATCCGTTTTAACCCTTGAGCAAAGCACCCCTTCACTGGGCAATTCCTCAGTATTCTCTCATACTGGTTTTGGCTGGGCTTAGATATTGGCTGCCTGAAACAGAAATAAATTATACAAAGAATTAAGTCAACTTCAAGTGAACATAAAAGATAACAATCAGCATTTAAGAATGCTATTACTAGTAAACTAAATCACAGCGCTCACAGATTATTATTACCCCTGATCATTGGGCCAATTTAGCATTCCAAATACTATCTCAGCTCCCTGGGGAGTATGTTCAGCTCAATGCAGCCCGTCAGGCACAAGGAAGTTACTTCAATCACAATAACCATCTCTACCCTCACATGTACCCATTTACTCCTGGGTGGGGTGAAGCAATGAGTGACAAAGTGCCTTGCCCAATAATTTAATGTACATATTCCACAAACTGCTAAACAATTGTAAAACTGTCTGAGAAGAAATGTATGATATGTAAATAATGAATTATATATCAACCAAAATAAGCTGAAAAACTGAAATATAATGAATAATTAGTTCTATGTATATACGTTTGTTTAATAGTTTATTTACACATGGTACCTCATATACATTTTGTATTTCAGCCATAAAGTCCCTACAAAATTATTTCTTCCGGCATGCTTTCTTTTTTTTGTATTTTTACATGTTCATGTATAAGTACCTGTACACCCACTCTTGTGTTACTATACTCCCAAGGACAATGCGTTGTGTTTCCCTTTGTCTGTGTAATATAACAAAAAAACATCGCCCGAAGATTGCAAAGAATCGTTCTCCCTTTGTGTGTCGGTCCTCAGGGGTTATGAAGAACATGTACCCGGTACATGTATGAACATGTTGCTGACTCACATTTCTCTGGACTACAAATCTTACTTCCATTTTTCGGCTCTTTGCCAGTTCTTTCATCCGTTTTCGCCCGTCTCTTCTTTTGTGAAACCTCTTCAGGTGTTGGGCCAGATGCCTAACTTGTTTTCCCTCGGGGCAGAGATGGCACTTTCTCAATGCTCGATTTGACTACCAAACAAAAACAAAAACAGACACCAAAAATCTGTTGTACAACAAAATCTGTTGTACAACAAGTGGAATTAAATGTCCACAGGTGTTTTAAAAATAATTTGACAATGTAATGTTATTATTAAATAATAACATTACATTGTCAAATTATTTTTAATTTTTTTTGTTGCAAAAATTATTCGTAAATAATGCAGTGACACATAAATGTAAATACATATAATGCCAACTGCCAAACAATTATTTATATATAATAGTGATATGTGAATAATGATTTTTTTAAAAGTGAGTAAGCCTAAACCAGCAGAAAAACTGAATTATATGATAAATTATGAATTATAAATAAATTATTTTGTTACATAATTTATTTACACTTGGTGTCTCATATTAAACTGAATATTGTGACTGAAAAACACATTATACATGTACTTAGGCTTTTCTTCCTTCTGCAATCAATACATTCAATTCCAGCTTTTGCCGATAGTTTACTTTTTATGGTTGCCTTTTTGTCTTTTTAAATTGTAAGTGTTTAATAACTTGTACCGGTACACCGGTCAATACGAATAACCGGACAACTCTCTGACATTGTTTGAAGTTGTCCTTCTTCTCCTCCTCCTCCTCCTCCTCCCCTCCTCATCCTGCCACTCCTCATCTCCCCCCCCCCCCTCTTCCACCTCATCACAGTCGTCCTCCTCCTCTCCTTCCACCTCATCACAGTCGTCCTCCTCTCCTTCCATCGTCTCCTCGTCGCATTGCACCTCCTCTAGCTCTTGCCTTTGCATCTCCCCTCTTCCTCCTGCTCTGCTTCCATCTCTTCTATCTCCTCCCCTCTACTCATATTTTCCAAAATCCAAGAAGCCTTTTTGAAGCAAACAGACACTAATGGACTACACTATCTACATGTATCTACATGGATGAGAGTCCTTATATTACTCACAAAAAAAGTTATGAAAGTGTGGTTCAAATTTCAAAAGCATGTTAAAATAATGGTATTTCAACCTTTCAGTAGTCCTGGAGTTATAGATTTGAAGGAGCTTTCCAGTCCACAAGATCAACAAACATGATTTCTTTAACAGAGGAAAATGACTGCTAACACACATATAATGCCTTTTAAAGATCGGTCAGTATTTGTTTATTTGTGAGTCTCAGTAGAGTTGGAAATGGGACTGAAGGGCAGCCTTGTTGAAATAAGGGAATAAATGTGTGCTCCGGAGGTTTTTATCACTCGTTTAATATCGCTTAGAGTCTGGGTGCTGATAATTACCCGAGCCGGAGGCGAGGGTAATTATCAGCACCCAGACTCTAAGCGGTATTAAACGAGTGATAAATACCGACCGAGCACATATTTATTCCCATTCATAAATACCTTATCCGTAAAAAAAATTTCAAATAATTCGTTCAAAAAATCCCGATTTTGTTCAACAAGTTCACTTCATGCTTTTTGAAACATCCCTCTAGCAAAATAATGGAGTGTTCAGCTGGCGAGTAAGATGTAAACAACCCTTTTATGGAGATTGACGCGCGCGTAACATGTTCTGCGCGATGTCACGCAGAACGCACCTGGGGCGTTGCGTTTTGAATTTAGAACTATAAAATTCTGACTCGCTTGTAGTGCTGCGCATGCCTACGTGAGGATTGTGAACGTTCAACCAATGAAACGGTAAGAGGCACTGGATTTTTAGGAGTCCACATTTTATTGTGACACTGGAAAAGTGTTTAAGACCAGCTAGCCATGTCTTTATCATCCGTTTAATACCGGCCACGTGACGGGCTCTCGACCAATAGGAATAGCTAAACTGTCTGAGGTATTTATGAATAACGGATATATGTTTATTAGCTTGCAGATTATCAACATGGGTTATCGATTTGTATGAAAACCTTGATCAGTGGGGCAGAGGAAATGTGAAGGCTTTGATTTTCGTTAAGAAAATTAATCAATAAATACAATCACACCTACTACTTTTACCTAAAGTGGTAACGCAATGTGGACAACTTTTAAAGATTGATCCCACACAGTATCTTGCATGTGGCCAACCAAGATTTGCCACAGTAGTATCATACTCCATAACAGTTTCTTTCAATCGTTTTTAAAACATACCTCAGGATTGTTACTTGAAAGAAGAACTTCAGACAGACTGGAATCCTAAAAGAAAAAGTGGAAAAAATATGCTTTAATGAAATTAAAATGTTGCAAAGGTCTACTTTATGGTATTGAGATGGATAATGAATGGATAAAGAAATAAAAAGAGAGGGCACTTTTAAGCATTTAATCAACTTACGATTGACAACCGCTATTCAGTTTAAGGGAAAACTGTAATTTAATATCCCAACTCAAATTAATAATTTCCCATAGCTAACAGTAGAAAAATTGACTACAGTGAAATCTTGATAAGTCAAACTCTCATAACTGAAAACAACTGTTAGGTCAAACAAAGAATCCATTGCCGTCAATATATAGTATAACAATGATACACAACCCTGCTCAACTAAAAACTATGTTTATGCCAAATTTTGAACATGTTCCCTTGAGGTTTGACTAATCGAGATTTCACTGTAACTGTTACAAGACAAAAACCACTTAACACATTCTGTCAACGGTCAGAGGATAGTATGACTTATCAGTTTTAAATTATGCATTCTTTTGTCCAGCCTGGGAGTTATTTTGTTTGTTTTTTTATGAAACTCACTGTACACCAAACTTGAAATTACCTAGGATCGGAAAGGATTTCAATCCCCACATTTGTGGGCAATACACACTGTTTTTTTTTCAATCACACTTTCGTTTCTTGTAAGTTGTAGCCAATGATAAGGTGTGTGTGCCTTAATAGACTGACATAAAACTATAAAGTTACTCACACTCTCATTTCCAGCAATACTGGAGCGACACTCATCAAAATGATCCCTCGGAGCAGTTATTGGGAGATGTCGGTGACATATTTTGCATTCCTCGGTAGTAAGTGTTCATTTGGTCATTGTCCTTGTCCATTGGAATGTTTTCTTGAATGGGTCGTAAGTACATTCTGGATGTGGATACAGCTTTAAGATCTTGTGCACAGCAAGGACCAATATGTACTACTACTAATGTAGACCGTGAACGTTGTTCATTCCGAGGAATTTCAAAGCCTCCACCTTTTTCCAGCTTTGGATATGCCCTGTTAATAGCAGTATAGAAAAATAACAGTTACTTTTGAATGACCTTCTTGTCAAGATTTCAGTGCCAGTCCTCAGTTGAAACAGAAATTAAATTCGTCACTACATCTTGCCCTTTGCCATCCTATAACTAGAATGGCAAAGCCGCCATGGCTCGCAATCCAAGGCGGGGAGGCCGAGGGTAGGGTTGGGGATGGGGACTATGGACGGGGATCCCGGCTGAGGATGATGTGCCACGGTGTGGGGATCATTTATTCTAAATGCCATCCAAAAAGTCAACCAATGTACTTTCATACAAACGTACATGTACATTGGTGGGCTGCCACGGCACTATAAATCTTTTATTGTTAGGGTAATAAGGAAAGAGTTGTAGGAACTTTTTCCAGCCCCTGCAGCATCTTCGGTCCCCAAAGGAGCATGGTAGAGCATGTATGTAGTCCCCATAAGTGCGAAACAAGAATGGGTGTACATGTACAGACACACCACCAAACCCTTTCCCAAACCCCACCCTTACCTTAATGTCCATCCCCACCCCACCTACAACCCCTACATGTATCTCCCCCATCCTCCACTACGGTCACCAGGCATGCAACTGGGAAGTCACAAAAAAGCGGAAATTCACATCTTTCAAGACATTGTAGTGTTTTTCTATTTTCAACGGCACACATGGGAAATCAAAAAAAGAGGAAATCAGCTGATCCGGTAAAAGTGTCATGCCTGACTTCCCAAACCCCCTACCCCACCCACCCCAATTACCCATCTACAGCCCATCCCCTACACGTTCCCTCCCTACCCAAATCCCCTACATCCACGTCCCTAACCCCCTACATCCACCCAAACCTCTACACCCACTGACACAATCTTCTCCATATCCAACATCACCCCCCCCCCCCCCCCCCACACACACACACTCCCACATGGGTCATTCTATGTCAAATCACACAATGGATTAAACCCCACATGTGCTTATAGATGTGGGGTAATTTAGGCTGGAAAAGTTGAAATTATTAGTTTTTTCAATTCTCATCACTTAAACCCAGTATCATAACAATTGACAAGGTCAAATTCAAGGTCGAAGTAAAGGTGAACAGGCCATTATACTTAAAATAACCCCGAAATGAAAAACAAATGGTAAATTTGGATTTGAAAATTGGCAGCCACACAAAAAACATTGGTCGGATGGCACTAAAACTTAAAATGTAAGCTTTTTCAGCTTAAATTACCCCATAAACTAAATATGAACCAAATGGGGGATGGATTTTGATGGACTTGGGGGGTGGTTAGGGGGTTATGGTTAATGTGCATGTTAACATCATGGCTGAGAAGTCAGAATGCCTGTTTCGAGAGGAGGATTAAATATTGTACTTACTTATACAATGCATCTTGCACTTCTTCAGCAGAACCATCCTTGGGGAATTGCACAGTTTTTCTCCCAGGCCAGCTTGTTTGAGAATCATCTTGTCTTCCAAACTTGGCTCAAAATCCCCATGCCTGTCTGGCAGGCACACAATGGTCCTTGTAAAAGTCCCACGTGCAACTTGCCCTGATTTGCAAGAACATGACCCAAAACAGTTAACAAATAAACCTGCCAATGGATGAAATTATTTTAACAGTGAAAATAGTTGCAATAAGCCCTGACAATAATTTGACAGGACTTTACCTTGTTTCTTTTGGTATTGTTTGCAAAGCTTTGCTAATTTCACAAATACAAATTCAATTCCATTTACACCGTGTTACCTGGGTTTGGAAACTTTAAAAAAATCTGTCTTGAAAGTACAGTGGAATCACAGCTGTTTTAGTGTTGAACAAAGACATCATCCTCCATAACGTTCTAACAAACTGGCAATTGTTTCACATTTACACAGCTGTATTTAACTGATCTTGAGTAAATACCAATCTATAAGGCATGTATGAGGCATGTATGAGCCTAGGAGGCCTGTTAGACCCCAATTGTAAATAAATATGGTTGTGTTGTAAAGCAGTTATATTACTTCATATTTTTTGTCTCCTCCGCTGTAGTTTACTCTTAAATGTTGAAAAGTTCTCATGTGACTTTGTAGTATCCTGAGTACAATTTCTCACAGCACACCATTTGGGAACACAATTCAATAAAACACCCACAAGTGCATTATGGTAAATAAGCACATGGAAAGTTGTTGAACATGACAGTAGAGTTTGAACAAAAGTACACAGTTTGTCTCCGGTCTATTTCATTCATTTACGTTGTCCAAAGAAACAGTACACTGGCGACGAGGATTTACAGACATGTAACAGTTTATAGAACTACTGAACAGGAATTTTTCGACTACGGTTGAAGTGATTTTGGTAGAATTTATCAAGGTAGCATGCACCATTTGCTTTGCCTGGAATTTAAAACAATAAATGGTTGAAGGAATTCATAGTTTGCCTCCTTTACTTCCTTCAGGCCACACAAAGCAATTAATATAATCAGGAAATTATCAGGTTATGAAACCAGAAAACATATACTTGGATTATAGCCTTATACTCATTCACTGATGTGTAACCATATTGCAAATAAAATGTGGACTCACTCAATTTAATACATTTGGTCCTGTGTTTGAAATAGTCAGGTTTTTCCAATGATTGCCGACCGGCTATTGTTGAAAACTGATACAAAATTCAAGTTTTCTTGAAAACAACAGCACACCAGGTGCCGTTATTTCACAGGATGCTTGAGATTATTACTCACAATCAAGTAAGGTACTTGAAACTAATTCAATAGTTTTGTTTTTGATGTTTGCAAATTGTGTTTACAACCTTCAATTAGGCCACCAATGTTACACACATTATAATTGAAAACTTACTTTGACGCTGATGGCCTCCAGCTGATGGTCTGCCATAAGGCACATTTGATGGGAACCTCCCTCGAGGATGAAAAAATGAAAAAAAGAAATGATGTTATACAGGTACAACTATGTCAGATACCTAGATAATGGACTAGATGTAAATCTACGCATCATGCTGTGGAGTAAAACTATGAGATATTAAGGACGTAACTTGATCTTGAGTGTACCAGTAACCATGGAGGAATAAGAACACATTCCTCCATGGTGTAACCATGAAGCTATAGTGTAATAGGTTCTCAGGTAGTGATTTGCGGTACACACACTCTGGGTTTTCAGGGTCACTGAGGGGTGCATGTATCATGTGTATGAGTAGATTTTATCAGGCCAAAATAGCTAAGGCGAGCCCTCAAATTAGAATCCCTCCTCGGACCGTTCGGGGTTGAGCCCGCCCAGTATGTTGAAGGGATTGGGACCTTGCATGGAACCGATCGGCCTGGATTAACTCCACCAGGCTTCTGCACCATGGCTCTGGCTCATCACAAAGGAACCAATTTGCGACGCGCGAATCCTCCAGTAGGCAACAATGACTGTGATGAGCTTCATATAAATTGCCCCTGGTAATCCAAGTGGGCTGAATAATCCTCCAACAATGGCCAGACTTCAATTTATGTTGCCTATTGTGAAACCCTGAGTCACCAGTTTGGACCGATTGGGGCGTCACGCTTCAGTGACCGGGTGGCTTCTGGCTTCGTACCGATTGGGGTGAAAGAAATTAGCATACCGGACCCGGTACCCGAACGGTCTGTTATCTGATGGCTCGCCTAAATGCTTGGGGTCAATGGGCATTGGATGCGGGGGTATGTCAGGGAATTTGCAATTTTGCATCGACTCTTAGGAAAGTAGAACAGAAAATGTCTAAGTCCTAAATGCATGTCGAAGGGTGGTACATTTCACCTGTGAGTGCTACACAAGATCACTGCAAGCATTATGCTATGCAAGGATAGAAATGGATCGGCTGGGAAAGAAATAAACTACGTAATTTGTGGGAACACAAACAATATCAATATGGCAATGCTATAACCAAGAAAATTGGCATTATGATAACATTTAACATGACATTTCTCTTTTGCAATTCAATACAAATGTCTGGGACCAGGCAATTTCCAACACTCACAAAAAAAAGGTATAACATTCACAAGGAGATACCTGATTGCGAGCAAACAAGACCTGTGTCTTGCAATAAGTTGATGCTGTTGTTGAGGAGTTGATGATGGAATGGATGGTTGGGACTGTGACCTAGAAGCCACTTGACGAGGCGGTGCAGAAGGTTGTACTTGTAGTAGAGGGTCAAATTATTTTGCTGAGGAGTTGACGTGTTTATTGCTTGCGACAATAGGCTTGTCGCTCTCTGCAGTAACTGCACCGCAGTTGGTAGAACATTTGAGTCTTCAGTCATGATGCTTGCTCTGTAGAAAGAGATGTCTGATTGATTATTTCAAGTTCATAGTCACCTAATTTAAAGGCACAATACATCTTGTAATTTGTGGATTTTATTCTTTTAAAATGACAAAAGTGCTAAAAAATCTACTACATTGTACAGTGGTTCTGAACAACTAACCTGATTAACTTTTATCTCAGTGAATGCTGCATATTCCCTGGAAAAACAATATCTAGGATCTCAACTTAAAATCAAAACGTCATGAGTCATGTTTTGTATTGAGCCCAAACTCAGCATCCAATTCAGTGTCATTCAGCCGATGGCAGCCACGGGATGTCGGGCACTTAACTAACAATTTATAGCAACTGCAGGTGTGCTTGTCGTGTCAACAGGTTGCGCGCACTTCGCTGAATTAAAAATGAAGTACTTACAGAAATGTGAAAGAATGTGTCTTTAGACGCATCATTGGAAAGGGCCTTTTTCATTGTTTTGTTGAAAATTGTTGCTTGCCCGAAAGAATTATTTCACAGTGAGTTTGGTCCCATTACAAGTACCAGCCTTTTTTCCCAAAATAATTTAATCAGTTACTTTTTGGATAGCTGCGGTGGCTTTATATCATTGTTTCCTCCCTTGTCCCTCTTCAGCATGATCACTTCACACTCTCACCCAAGAACCTGATCTTGTGTCGTGTCCATTGAATTTTACACTAGTAATGTTGTTAAGACATACCATGGAATTCATTAGGCATGGAACATTTGTACAAACCCTGTATAACAAGAGAATCCTTACCGACAGCATCTTTCCCAATACAAGCCACAGCCACAGTTATTGGGTTAGGGCAGCATTGTTTAGGGAATTTTGTTTCAAGAGCCACAAGGAGGTCTGAAGTTTGTTTCTGCAAACTCTCTGGAGTGCTGTGGCCTCGTGGTTAAGGCACTGGATTCGTAGTCTGTGGGTAAAGCTGCTTGTTGTGGGTTCAAGTCCAGTCCGGGTCATGGTGCGTGACGTACAATGACGTACATGTATGTCGGGGAATGGTCATGATGCCTGGTCGGGATTGTCACTTAGCGCCTAAATCTTGCCCGAGGGGTACAGGTAGGGATTTTGTCACTTGAAAAGTGACAATCTCCGCATCTTGGGTTTGGCATACCGGGGTTGGGGGAGGGAGTTGGTGACATTCTCAATTAACAGGTATAGGTAGGCCTATGTCACTCATAGATAGAGGGCAGGGCTTTGATTTTTTAAGGAAATTTTTGGGTAAAAGACGATGACAGCGCGGTGCCAACACGCAACCCGAAAAATAAAGATGGCGATCACCGCGCAATGTACCATGACTCATGAGCATGCACGGCGCGCTGAATCGCAAAGGCAAACCGTGCTGGAAAATCGTGATTTCTACCCCAAGAAACCGTTAAAAATTGCAAAACGCGTGTCACTGGAATTGAGAAAAGTCTGCTTTTGATGTAAAGGTGATTTTTGAGCAATAAAATACATTTTCGACTAGTCTAATTTGATCAAAACAAAACAGGCATGACAGGGGCTCTACTGTCTACACTACACGATGTCTAGTCCGAGTAACTAGGACCCTATGGATCGCTATCGCCAGACCGCGTAATTTTTATTCCTAGGAGGGTTAGGGGCAATGTCATGAATAATTCATGTTTATCCATGAGAACGGACAATGACATCAACAGCATTGTTGTTAGTTACTCAACTAGTTATAATACATTAAAGCATTTTAAAGAACGGTTGTCGTCGAGCTACCACACAGTAGCCTAGTGGATAGCGAGATGAGCTATGGATACGAAGATCCCTGGTTCGAATCAACGTCGTCGCTGCTCATTTTCATCAGCTATTTTTCTTCTCCAAATTTATCACTGAGATATTTTTAAATTAAGGGGAAAACCTAAGTCTTGCAATGATTCAAAGGAAATACTGAATTATTCATGACATTGCCCCTAACCCTCCTAGGAAAAAAAATTACGCCGCCAGACCATGTCCAAATGTTAAAAAGCGATCCGTACTCTTAGTCCTAGTTACCCGGACTACACCATGTCTACTCCTAGAACTATGACCATTATGACTGCTCCACTACGTGGACACATGGTGGAGCAGTCATAGTTCTAGGAGTGCACCATGTCCATAATTGCACAAATATGACAAGACATGATCATGACAAACCTCACACTGACTCCGTCAGCGGTCAGACCATGGACAGTCAGTCTAACTCAGGAACTGAATTATGCTTAAATTTTAGCGGTATCGTAGTTCGTACTTTGTGAAATACAATTTACAAACATGGAGAGCAACTGAGTGTATGTACAGCTGAGCAACGTCAACGTAGTATTTTTCGCGCCACCAACCAACCTCTATCTCAACACATGTACACCGCGGCAAACCGGTGTCACATGAAAATCCGACTACTCTGAAAATCGGACCCCTTTTCCCTATTATTGGTTAATTCTCATGTGACCGGACACTCTCTTAATTATCATATTTACGCATGCGTGGTATTACCAATGAGTCTGAATTTTATAGAAACCTAAATTCACGCTACACCGGCAATGTTTCATCTATCAGTGCAGCGTGTGCTACGTTGCGCAGGGCACGAGCCACGGAATAAGTTGTGTGGATTAGTCTTAGTTTCAAGACGTCCTTCCTTCGCGAGTATAGCACGCCGCACCTTGTGGACAAAAGTTCAATCTGAGATAATCGCATTTGAAGTTCTTCATTTTTTTAAAAGACATTGTCGACCACTTTGCAGTAACAGAATTCGGAAGTTTTTGCATTGTCCGATAGGATATGATTTGCTCTTTGTAATTCATATTGTTTGTTAGAAATAGTTGGTAATTAAACAGTAATTCATTAATAAACCTTTTTTGCACTTCGTGAGAACACCAATATTTTGGGTACCATATTTTACCAATTACTTTGTACACAGTTTTTGTCACTTCGTGGGATCATGAATCACGGAGACTTTACTTATTTTGTACTTTTTCGACGCTACAAACTTGTTAATTTTGCGCGTCACGACAGTTGAGCGAGGGCGCGTGTGTTCTTTTTCAACATCGTTCGCGCGCGCGTGTATGCTCCCATCCTGCCGCGTGTAGACCATTGTATAATTTATTTGTTCTGGCCCTGCTCACGAGCTGACTCTTTGTCACTTCGTGGGAACATGAATCGCGGAGGCTTTACTTATTTGTACTTTTGACGACATTTTGTTACTTTTGCGCGTCATACGATGGGTGAGCACGCGCGTCTGTTCTTTTTCAACATCGTTCGCACGCGCGTGTATGCTCCCATCCTGCCGCGTGTAAACCAATGTGTAATTCCTCCGGCCCTGCTCACGAGGTGACTTTTTGTCACTTCGTGAGAACATTTTACACTTGTTAACACTTCATAAAAATGAAAATGTCTGATTTCAGGCTTTTTGTCAATTGTTTGTTTACAATAATTAAGAAAGTAAACAAGATTTTGCCTTGAAACTTAGTCAAATTGTTCCTTGAGACAACTATAATAAAATGACTAGTAAAATTCAAAATCGAATAATTATCGATGTTTCAACCCTACCAAAAAAAAAAGCTAAGTTCCAGGGAAAATATGACACTGAAAGACGAACCGGATGATCAGAGGCGTGAATGCCAATT